TGGGAGCATAGGTAGGTTAATTGAAACCATATTATAGAAATATTTAGAGTTCTACAGGATGTCCCCAAAAAAAGTTACGCATGAAAGTTGGGTTTTTATAATGACAGGAAAAAATAAAGGTGAGTTTTATTAAAGAAGCATATGCTTAAATTGTGAGGATTTTGACATATATGAAAATGTAGAATAAATTTTAATAACAGCCACCTAAATTGTAAGTTACCCTGTATAGTCTGATATTTAATTACAATAACCATTGTATGTTAAATCAAATTAAAATTTATCCCGAAAAGTTATACAGGGCGAGACAAAATTAATAGTGATCAAAAACAATTTACTCCTTTATTTTAAATGGAACACCCAGCATATTATACCGGTATTCAATTGAGAATTCATATATCTTTAAATACTATTAAGTTTGCGTACCCCTCAGACAAAAATTTTCCTAGATATTTTCATTTTTATGATTTTGTCTTAGTAGATCTTTATTATTTGATATAATCTAGGTGGCTGTGATTGATATACCTTTTGATAATTTATCAAAAATTAAAGGATGTAAAGTAAAAGACTCAACTGTACTAAAAAATATACGTTTAAAACATATTTTAATTATTACTGAATTAAAACTAGATATAAGTGTATAATTATGGCACAAAAATTAGCTAGATGAAATATATTTTTTTTATTTTAACTGACACAAAATGATAACTAGTTGTTAAAATTGAACTAAATTGCGTCAGACGTGTCACAGCCACCTAGATTTTATCAAATAATAAAAATCTACTGACACTAAATCATAAAAATGAAAATATTTAGAAAAATATTTGTTTTAGCGGTAGGAAACTTTAATAGTATTTTGAAGAGACATGAATTCCTTATTAAATATCGAAATAATATACTGGGTGTTTTATTTAAAATAAAAGAGTAATTTACTTTTAAATGTGACCCATGTTCAATATTAATTTTGTCTCACCCTGTATCACTTTTTGGGCCAAGTTTCAATTTGATTTAAAGTACAATCCTTATTTTAACGACCTATTAGGCTATTCCGAGTAAATTCGTATTTAGGTAGCTTTTATTGAAATTTAAAAATTGTTTTTCATTTTTAGAAAATGTTTAATATGTCAAGAACCTTACATTTTAGTCATATACTTCTCTAATAAAGTCACCTTTATTTTTCTCGTAGAATCCAAAAATCTATTAATATATAGGGTGTTCCATTACAAAAAAACCAACTTTGATGTGTAACTTTTTTTGAGGACACCCTGTAGAACTACAAACTGTCGTTCTTCTTGGAGCCTCCGCGTCGTATGAGAGGCGCCACCCTGTATTTTAATCGCAAATAAAGATTTTTGTGTACCTTTAACGACATAATTTACATAAATACATTTTTCTATATAGGTTCCTATTGCTGTATAGCGAAAAACTGTATGGGCGAAGCCCGCAGTTCAGCTGAACTGACAGTGGAAGACATCGAAAGTCAACTAAGTGACGAAGAAAGAGCTCAGCTGATCTCAGCTAGTCAAGCCCCTAAATTCTTACAAGGACTAAAAAGTGGCGAAGCCAAAATTAACGAACCTTACAGGTTTACTGTTAATGGTAATGTTTGTTTTAATCAACTTTTAAGAAGAAAAACTTCTATTTCAATTTTCTAGTGAGTGCCACTACACCAGTGTCTTCAATAACTTGGTACCGCGACGATCAACCGGTTGATGCCGAGCCCGAAAAGTACTTCGTTAATAGAGAGAGTACTTGGGTGTATGTCATTTGGAGATTGCCCAGTTGGAATTCAACGATCAGGCTGAATGGAAGTGCGTGGCCACGAATGAGTTTGGTCATTCTGTCACCTCTTGCTTTTTGAGACTGGTCATTCCGAAGCATTTCAAAAAGAAACCAAAGTTTTTGGAATGTCTTCGTGCTGTACTCTCAGAGGTACTTAATTAATTGATAATAATACTAAACATTTTCGCCTGTTTTTATTTTTGTTTTATGATTTACTGTAAATAAAGTACAGTAAAATGCACGATCTTTGAATAAAAGTATTAAGGAAGGAGCATATCAAAAATCTTAGGTCGAACGCGACGGGGTCCTAAAATGGCCGACTTAAATTCCGGTTTATCAGTGCCGTTCTAATTTTATTCGAAACGTGTAAAAATATGACGTAGGGTAGACTCAATAATTTGTTGTTTTATTTTACGTTGCAAATAAATGTTGGGAGTTATTAAAATGGTTATAAAAATATATAATTATAATAAAAATAGATAAGTTATAATAATTGTTTATTAACACAAACATCCGATACGCTACTGAAGCAGGTAAGTCAAATTGACGTATCTAAATTCTTTGACATCTAATCTTTGACAAGTAGTAAATAAAAGCAAAAATAAAGCAAGAAAAAATATATAATTAGTTAATTTTAAGTGAATTTCATAAATGATCGGTTTACTACACGTATGTATATTATATAGTCACTTACTAGCGAAAAGTTTTTCCATTATTTCACTCGATTTTTGCCGAGATCTACCGCACGCTACACAACTAACTATTTTAGAGTCTTTTTCGATAAATCGCGATAGTGTCACTGTTAATTTAAGTTCTGCCACAATTTCCATCTAGATTTACTACCGTAAAATGAGGTGAATCGGGACACTCCGTGGACTTTACAAAGATATTCCTGCTTTACTATTTAATTTATTTTTATTTTCTGTAAGCCAAAATATCGAACATGTTGTGTACTTTTCATTTCCAAATAGCGCAATTAAAAAAAGAAGAAAAAAAGTGCGTTTTTAGAAAAAAACCGTCTTGTCCCTATTCTCCTGGAAATGTGGTGATTAGGGACAACATTGTTTTTCAGTACGTATTCTTATTTAGACGTAGCCTGGGGGAAAAGGGACAACATAATAGAAAAAAATATATCATGTTCTATCATAAAAATTATTTATTATGATTTTTTTTTGTATTAAAAAACTTTTTAATTGACTTGCTTAAATGACTTTCGGCAGAGGACTATTTTAAGTCTAATTAAAGCCAATATCGTATTATTTTACTTACATTTTCCACTTGTTACAACCAACACTCTCAGATGCACGAAAAAAGCTGATTTTTGACTACCAGAATTTAGATTATGTCAACCGTCAAACATAAGTTTGACAGCAAATTCAGTTGTGTCACACGTAAAGCATATGTTTTAGACACAACTTGACGAGTGGTTTCAACGACTTTTTTAATAAAGTTAATAAAGAATTAAGAAAAAAAAAGTTTTGTCCCGATTCACCTGTATGTCCCAATTCACCTCGTTTTACGGTACCTTTATACAACTATCAGTAGTAGAATAAATAATAAATAACATAAAATAAGCTCCGTAAAGACTGACAAATCCACAAAATTTCAAATCAAATTTAAATAGCTTTGTTTGGGTTTTTCTTATTACCGATTCTGAACCGTCCTAGAACTGTGATACGCCTGGGCAGAAGGAAATATGGAGAAATTATTTTATTTGCGCATGCGCTGCAGAGTTCTAGGACGGTTCAGAATCGGTAATGACAAGAAACCGAACAAAGCTAATGTCTCAAATGAATCGTCAAACAGAACTGTCAAGGATCCCCACCCTAGGGCCCTTTCTCCGTCTGCCATGCATGAATACATGGATAGCATTAAGGTTGATTCTCACTATACCTTTCATATCAGCTCCCTTCCGTTTCCCTGCCGTTTAATATTGTGTCCGAATATCCCTGCCCAAACATTTACTTTCTGTGGATATTGCGTCCTTGTTACGACAAACTTGTGTTGGTTTTCTTTGTTACAATATCGATAATTTTGAACATTGGGTTCATTATTTAAGGTAAACGCGCATTCGTGAAACATGTTTTTTAAAAATTCCCTATCCGTGTTTGCTCTTTCCATCATATCAAAACAAAACGCCTGCCGCCGTATTTCGTCCCCATCTCGTAGCTCTTGGTGCTTTTCATGTTTGAAGGAATAGTATTTATGTCGTTTCAAAATTCGAAACGCTGTAATGTGATCTATTCCTATTTTCATCCTCAAGTTTCTTTGTGCTGATCTTTCCATCGTTCCCTTCCACGCACAATAAAACTTCCAAGTCGGTATCATTTCTTGCATCTTCTTTTGTTCCTGCCTTGCTTCACATCTGCAGTTATTTATTAGGGTAGGTACCTTTGGTCTCAAATCTCTGATATTCCTTTGCGATTGTAGATTTTCCAGTTATCGGTCTATTCGGATACAAACATGTCCGACACCTTTGATAACTATTTCCTTGATAATACCATTTAATCATCAATACTTTTTTCTTCGGTAGTGTAATTCAAGGCTAATATTTTCGATGTAGATATGAGTTTTTCATAATAATAATAAAACACCAAATAGATAAATTTCTGAAAATGATACAACTTCGTTTGACAGTTATCTTTACCTTGACTGGTGCCATACTGGTGCTCATAAGTAAATACAGGGCCATAAAGGAGAAATATTTAAAAAGAAAAAAAAAAAAAAAAAAAAAAAATCAAAATATCTAAAATTATTCTTTGAATGTGGATTTTAGTGCTCTTCAATAAACCTAGATAGAATTATTCTCTAAAATAATTAGTGAAGCTAATAATTGACCCCTTTAAAATTTACATGGGATTTCCTATGTTCCGCTCGACGATGCAACACCTGGTATAGGGTCATCAATACAATAAAATACGGAACGGATATGAAATGAAACGGAAGGTATAGTAGTGAGAATCAACCTTTTTATCCCTTTCTTAATATTTTTATTCAAATTGCACGATCTTCAAATGATTGTCTTTTAAGGAGGGAGCTGTCAATTTAGAATGTAAAGTCATCGGTATACCTCAGCCTGTCCTAAAATGGTACAAAGACGGTGTTGAATTGAAACCGGGAGACATTCATAGAATCACATCCGGGGAGGATGGAACATGCTGTCTAGGTAAATAAAAATAAACAATAAAAATTATACTTCCATAACATTCTATATTTTCAGGAACATACACTTGTGAAGCTAGAAACTGTATGGGAGTTGTAGCTAGCTCAGCCTCTCTTCTGGGCTACGAAGACCAAAAAACCAGGCAACAACAGAGAATAGAACTGGAAAGGCAATCGTCTCTGTCGACTATACACGAAGAAAGAACCTCGCAGATGTATGACACAGCTGGAGACCAGTCTCTGACCTTGGGAACCGGCGAAGTGTCATTTTCGTTTGACGGCAAAGAAGTGTCAGTGTCTTTGTACGAAACTCCCGATCTTACTGAGGAAGAAGCTCTGCAGATCGTCGAAATGTATGCTGAGCAACTATCAGAACATGTTTCAGGTACGTAAAATCGTATTCTATAATACTTTAATGCTCAATCATATGCATGTCGTCTCTATATTTGCATAGGTTTGGGTCTTTGCTGTACGTTGATTCAGTCTTAAAATTGCGCTGCTCCATAGGTAATCATTTTTTCTTCCTCTAGAGCACAGTATTGTCGAGTTACCTCCTCTTCGCTTCGTCAAAGAATCATCTACCTCCGGAAACCTCCTCATGGAAGCAGTCTTAGTCGATGTATCAGACGACTACTTCCTCACAGCTGACGAAGACCTGCGCACTGAAGCTGACGTTGAAGATATCTATTCCCTCACAGACGAAGCAGGACATCCCCTATCTTCAATTACTTCAGAAAAATTGAAGATCGACCTGACCTCTAGCAGTGGCGATGCACCAAGAAGGCCACCGAGGAAGTCTGACTCGCAGAAATCCAATAGTAACAATACATTCTACAGCTTGTCCAAGAATATTTCCTTGGATTCGAATAACGAAAGTTTGGCCGGGGCTGCAGAGTTGGATAGTGAAAGTTATGGAGAGTTTGAAAGTGCTATAAGCTCGGAGAAACAGCAAAAACCAGAGGACAGAGCTTTCCAGGTTAGTAAAATATCTGATGCAACATAATAAAACGACTATCACAGTGGCGTGCATATAATGGAAAAGGCACCCCAGACAAGATCATATAAAATCATTTTTACTCAAAAAAATATATAAAAAAAAAAAAAAAAAAAAGCATTTTTTATTTTATCCTAGAGATTACTTAATATGTAAATTTTTCATAAATGCATATGATTTAATTTATATTATTTGTCTGTAGAATAAGGATTATATAAAGTTATAAATAAATAAATTATAAAGCCGTAATCAAGAAATTATAAAAAAATAAATAAACCTATTGGTTATTAGAAAATTGATACTTTTGTACACCCTTTGGCTATATTGTTTCCTTTTAGTTTTTGTAGAAAAGAAGTATAATTATAACGTGCAATTGTCTAAACACAACATTTGTTTAAAAATAAATTATGAAGTGACAATCATGCCTAAAGAAATTATGAATAAATTCAGAATATATTTTTAGGGAATACTAGCTTTTATTTTAAACATTTCTTTACTAGAGTTGTTGTTTTTGTTGTATCAATTGGTAGAATAAAAAAAATGTTACAAAGAAATGTGACATTGTCGAAGAACAAACATCCCTTAAATAAATTAAAAGTGTATCACATCCCAAGAAATTAGGAATAACTTGTGAATTTGTCCTCCATTCTAGAGATTTAGTTGTATATCTTAGAGAATACATCTCTGTACAGCTCATTCTTACAACAATAGCTCTAACACTTGAGCTACACTGATATATTAATACTAAAAATTTATAATACAGGGTGTTATTTTATTTAGGTGGCAGCTATTACAGAAACATCAAGTTTACCAGACGAGGACGATCTCCAAGATGAAGCCAGAAGACCTCTTACACCGAGAACCAGTCACGAGATAGGTTCTGACCTCAGAGTGAATATCAGCGAGAGTCAAGAACTAAAAACTAGAAGAAGAAGGTAAATAAGTCATTAAATTTATCAGTAATTTCAATAAGTCTTTTGTTTGTCCTATAAGTTTTATGCTTTAGTTTGTATTTTTATATTATTACTTAATTTTTGAGAAATTTTCAACTTTTATTAGGTATACACTTTGTTTCTCTATACTAGTATATTGTGTAACAATTTATTTATCAATAGTACTTTGTGTTGTTGCAGGATGTCTCAAAGTTCTGATGAAATGCCTCCAAGAGGTTCTCTAAGACAGACTGCCAGTGTTGACCTTCCTAACGTCCAGAGAGACATCCAAGGAGAGGAAGGAGACGGTAATATACAGGGTCTTTCAAAATACGTGGGCACAAACTTGATCAAAATATTAAATTTCTTGAGTAGCGATTTTTTTATACATGCTTTATTTATTCTTAGGTTTGGTAATGAACCAAGAAAAACGAGAAGCAAAGGAAAAAGAAGCAAAGGAAAAGACACCAAACATAGGTGAATTTAAAGTAGACTGAATGAGTTTCAGGAAAAACTTTTGTCGGTTCAAGAAGAAGTTTTAGTGCAATCTGCTCTTAAAGCCACATCAGCTGCAGCAGATAGAAGCTTGGACGTACTGAAAAGCATCTCGCAGCCTATCAAAGACATTCAAACTGTGTTTGAAAGTCTGGAACAAAAAGAAGGCATTGAGGTAAGTGTATCTGTATCTATACTGGGTGAGTCTTAAATAAGTGTAAATATTTTAGAGGTAGTATTTCCATAACTGAAACACAATTATGAGGTTTTTTACCAAAAGAAAATGAACACTAATTATGGAATAAATAAATAAATAAAACACCCTGTATAATGTGTTTATTGAATATATCAGAAATTTCTATAGTGGAGTTACTGGCTCCTCCAATTTTTGATCTGCAGAAAAGTTTGGGAATTGTGGAAAAATGCGTTGCCATGAAAGGAAGAGAACACACACTGATCCAGAGAACTTGCAATAATATTTATGAAACACTTGTATTATTTGAGAAAAACTTTAGACGATGTAGAAAAAATTACTTTATTAGAAAAAGAACTGGACAGAACAAAAGTAAGACTTTTTTCTGCTTTTTACATTATAATTTTTTTTTCTTTTCATTGTTCTCTTTTTTCCTGAGTAGTCTTAAAAGATTACAGAAGTACCGTATGATCGAAAAAAAATGGCGTCCAGTTGGCTGGGAAATGACGATCGATGACATTTCCCATATAAATTTACATATAAAATGACAGCGACCTTCATTTCCCAGCCAACTGGACGCCGTTTTTTCTCGATCATACGGTATATATTTATATTTGTTTTTATACTCCAAGGATGAATAAGGATTATTATTATTATTTTTAGGCTACTGGTAGAGTTACGCCTTCAAAAATTACTCAAGAAGTGTGCATCACGGTCAAAGAAATTAGGAACGAATTGAGCAAATCCGAATTGGTTCTCAGAGAAGGCAAATATGGTCAAAAAGAACCGGTTTCGAGTGGTTCGGAACCTTCTTCTGCAGCAAAGGACGCCGATATTTTGACAAAATTCCTTTACACCAACTTTACAAAGGTAAGTAGATAGTTGGAGAAATGCAATGATCATGAAAATTTGCTAGCATAATTTATATTATAAAAATATTTTGTGAAAACTTGGAAAGCCTGGAAAGAACAGTTGCTTATGGAGACCCAGACCAGATGTATCCAAACCTTTGCGAAGCTATTTTGGAAAAACTATCCGAACCAATTAAAATGCTTGTGAAGGAAGCAAAGGTGGCAGAGAAACAAGTAAGCTCTAATAAATGCTAGAGAATGTTTTCTTAAAATATTGAGAAACTTAAAAGTAAAAGAATTAGAATTAGAGAACTTTCTTTTTCTTAGATTTTTTAGACTTAGATTTTTAGACTTTTAGACTTTCGGACTTTCGGACTTTTAGACTTTTAGACTTTTAGACTTATAGACTTTTAGACTTTCAGACTTTTAAACTTTTAGACTTTTAGACTTTTAGACTTTTAGACTTTTAGACTTTTAGACTTTTAAACTTTTAGACTTATAGACTTTTAGACTTTCAGACTTTTAAACTTTTAGACTTTTAGACTTTTAGACTTTTAAACTTTTAGCCTTTTAGCCTTTTAGACTTTTAAACTTTTAGACTTATAGACTTTTAGACTTTTGGACTTTTAGACTTTTAAACTTTTAAACTTTTAGACTTTTAGACTTTCAGACTTTTAGACATTTAGACCTGTAGACTTTTAGACCTATAGACTAAGAGAACTAGACTAAAACTTTCTTTTTCTTAGATTTTTTTAGACTTAGATTTTTAGGCTTTTAGACTTTTAGACTTTTAGGCTTTTAGACCTTTAGACATTTAGACCTTTAGACCTTTAGACCCTTAGACTCTTAGACCCTTAGACCTTTAGACCTTTAAGGCTTTTAGGCTGTATGACATATTTTTATGGTTATTTTCCTTAGGCCATACGATACGCTGGTGAAAAATCTGTCGCCCAAGAATTGCGATTGGCCATTTTGGACAAAATAACGCCCTCAGTTACCGAACTATCTCGTGGTCTAAACGTCATAAAAAATCAGGAGCCTGGAGATAGACATTCTGGTATGATCAGTATGAATGTTCTGGAAACTTTTGCTGGATCTATCGACGACATTATGAATTCTCTTACAAGGTACTGCTGTTTTTTTTAAATGTTAATACAATTTATATAATATAACTTTTTTTACAGAATTGGAGCAAATGTCGAAGGTGAAGGGCTCAGTAGTCCCGTTTCAGAACCACGCGAGGAAGTTTTTAGAGAAGTGTTCGAGCAAGTTAGTGAAATAGTGTACACTGATACAAATCAGTCTGTCACTGATTTGCTATGTAACATCGAGACTGCTCAGAGAAATATACCCAACACTATAATATTAGAAGGTTTAAGACAACTCTCTTCTCTGCAAAAAGATTTGGCAACTACCGTAACCAAGGTAAACCATAATCAAATTACTTTTTACCAGACCGCAGTATTAAAAGCTCAGTAGTTTTAGGAATTAGTTTGTGTTGAAAATTGTGTTAATCAAAATATATAAAGACAATTTAAGTCCGAAATTCTTTTCTTTCCATAAGACTTATATATCTTGACGAACCTAAAACCATAATTAAAAACTGTATTCCGGAAAATTCGGCAGCATATTCTGGTGATAAAAATAAGTAAAAACGGTCGTATAAATGTGTGTCCTAAAATGCTTAGTTTCAGAGATACAGGGTGTAGAAGTTTCATTTTTATTTCGATTTTTTCCAAATAATTTCTGAAGTAACGTCAATATTTGGATGAAAAATGGTGTCTGGTGGTTCTGGAAATGGTTCTGATGAGAAATTTGATTTTGATGTCAATATGACTCCTACTTGTAGAGGGCGTCATCTACATGTGTTTTAACAGTTTTGAAGAGTAATAACTTTTTGTCCGTACCTGTATAAAACTAATGGGTAAAAAATATACATTTTCGTGATTTTTTACGTGAAAAATGTCTCTTATATTTATAATGGGAAAGATATTTATAATGGGAAATAATCAATACATGTCATTATTGACAAAAATAAACATGTTGAGTAGATAGTTATTTGGCTGAAATCATAAATTCGGGAACTTTTTATTTTTTTTCTAAATTGATCATAAATTTTTCTTCCAAAAAATGATGATAAAACAGTTTCTGTTGAACTTTGGACACAAAAACATTTCAAATTTATGATTTCAGTCTCATAACAATTTAGTCAACGTGTTTAATTTATGTCAATGATGACAGGTATTGATAAGACCGATTCCAAATATCTCGAGAACTCGTAACGATTTTTACCAAGAGACCTTTTCTACGTAAAAAACGCCGTAAATGTGAATTTTTTTACTCACTAGTTTTATACAGGTGTGGACGAAAAGTTATTACTCTTCAAACCAGTTAAAAAATATTTAGGTGGCGCCCTCTACAAGTAGGAGTCATATTGACATCAAAATCAAATTTCTCATGTCAAAAAACTCTCAGACACCAATTTTCATACAAATATTGACGTTACTTCATAAATTATTTGGAAAAAATTGAAATAAAAATTAAACTTCTACACTCTGTATCTCCGAAACTAAGCATTTTAGCACTTTATTTTTATCAGCAGAATATGCTGCCGAAGTTTCCGGAATACAGTTCCCACCACCCTGTATATTCTCTCATTTTTTTTCTATAGGTAGGAGAAAACAGAAATGAAACCAGTATCTCAGCTTTAGAAAACATAGGTCAAAGCATCAACCTTCTCAATAATTTCGTCATAGATTTGACTCCTTCCAGCATGGGCAGTGTTCTAGAAGAATGCGGTGTTGTTCTAAGTATTCTGGAAGACAGTGTCTTAGCTACTGACCTGTCATCTCAACCCAGTGACATAAAAGACGAATTTTCTAATTTAAAAGACCGAGTCAAAGAAGTCAGATTAAATATTATTGAACTTAGTGAACAAGTTGATGAACCCAGACAAACCAGTGATGATCAAATGGCCGTGGGTGATAATGTAGTGGTAGTTTTGGAAGAAACATCAGTTACAGTAGTAAGAATTTTTTTTTAAGTATTTTAGAATAAAAAATACAAAATGTCTTTATCTTAGGTGCCAGAATCCTTGTTGGAGGATACAAAATCTACTTTGGACCAATTACAAGATTCAGCTTCTGTACCAAGTGCAAGAATGGTACTGGAACCTCTTCTGCCTCATGCTGTAGCTTTGTATGAAATCAGCAATGACACGTTACTGAGGAAACAAAAAGACCAGTTGTCAGAGGAAGACAGACAACGCCTGCAAAATTGTGTGGTAAGTACGAAAAATTATATTTAGACAAATAAGATACAAGTTCATACTAAATAAAATTTTAGTCACGTGATTAAGCTTGACCTTTTATATACTTTTTTAATAAAAAATATTTTAGGAAACAAAAATAAATTAATTATAAATATATAAACAGTTATTATTTACATCAACAAAACCATTACCACCGCTTTCCCGTTCAAAATATTTTAATAAATTTGCTATGAATTTTTACGGCTATTAAACTATCTTGTACATTTCACACTAAAAGAAGTTCTAAAAGAACAATGTTCGACTGCAAGGTCTGCTAGTAAACATTTTTAAGCTTAAAGTATCAAAACACTATTTATTTAAACCAAAACTCGGAATACAAAACTAAAGTGTCAAAACGAATGACAATGTCAGGAAATAAATAAATAAATGCGACAACTTGGCATTTTTTACAGCAGAGCTACCACCTGAATCACCAGCACGAAATTTAAATTCCAGTTAGTCAATATGAAATAGTAACATAGGTAAACAGTAATTGATATGAAATATAAAAAGAATATAAATATGGTAATCGCAAAACAATTTCCGATGCACGTGCTCAACTTTGAGTGACAAGCGATGGCGACAGCGCTGCCAGAGTGTGACGGATTTATGAGAAGAATCTTAACCTAAAATTGACGAACACTATATTTATTATATCATTTTTTAAAGAGTTTTACGTTTTAATTTAATTTAATAACTAATATTTTAATAATGAATTGATTTATTTGTTTCATAACTTATTTTACTTATTACATATTGGCAAAAACTAGTCCATTATGAAGATTATTCTAAGCGTTATTATGGGTTATTTATTTATTTATTGGATAAAATTATATAAGGATTCTTTCCACTTAACTGCTGATATAGAATTTTATTCCACGCTGTGTTTTTGTCATAATGTGGATCAACCTGCTCTCACTACCGGTTTCCTGGAGCCCTACTCCATCATCAGGTGAGCTTGGGCAGATCCACAAAATGGCAACCACAGCGCAGAGATAGTTAATTCCGACATGTCGGAAAGTGTCGGTTAGATATTAAGTCCCGAACGGTAGATAGCAGCCTGCGTGCAATGATAGTACTTTCGTACCACCAAGGCAAGAATCTACATATATAAAATGCTAATGTTTATCTGTGTCGTCTCTACTGAAGTAACGACTTACTCTAAAAAGTTGCTTTTTTTTTTACTAAAAGATAGCTAATTGGCACTTCTAAAAACTGTCGTCGTCGGATTTTTTGTTTTTTATTTAATTAAAAAAAAATAAAAAGTATTTTTGTGATGTCGTGGCGATTGCGCCAGGCTTCAACTAGTCCTTTTTATTTTATTTTATTATATACCTATACTGCAAGAAATTTGTTTTCTATTTTATAATTTGGCCTGCCTGAAAAAAAGTATTTTACCATCTTTTTACTATCGATAGTTTCGCCTCGGTGGTACGAAAGTACTACAATTGCACGCAGGCCGCTATCTACCGTTCGGGACTTAATATCTATCCGACACTTTCTGACAAGTCGGAATTAACTATCTCTGCGCTGTGGTTGTCATTTTGTGGATCTGCCCAAGCTCACCTGATGATGGAGTAGGGTCTGAAACCGATAGTGAGAGCAGGTTGATCTACATTATGACAAACACAGCGTGGAATTAAATTTCTATATCAGCAGTTAAGTGGCAAGAATCCTTTATATAATTTTATTATATACCTATACTGCAAGAAATTTGTTTTCTATTTTATTTATTGGTGTACATCTTACAACGCCATAAGTGGTAATAACAAGTAAGAGACTGCTATTAATGCATAAACTAATAATCACAGAATTTAATAAAAACTAACTAAAAGTGGTATAAATGAGCTTATAAAGCAAACTTACTTCTCTGACTGCAGTCAAGGGTAATAACGGACCTTTATTGTCACGTACACTCATTGTTTATCAGGGAAGCTACAAGCTCTTTGCTTCGACTGTTTAAATGCCTCCGCATATTTTCAACACACAATTTTAAGAAATGAATACAAAAACTCGAAAATTTAGTTCTCAAAAGAACTGTTTGAGCCTAAAAGTGCAATTAAAAAAAAAGATTACGAAAAATAGGCAAAAACGAGATTTGCTACAAAGATTCAACAACAACATGATATTATACAAAATAATGACTGACATTAGGATAATTGTCAAATAATAAGGGACAACATTGCTGAGCACGGCACAATGTGACCAACATAGCGATAATAAAAGTCGGTTTATACTATTTTTGCAGCTTTAATCTAAATAAAATCTGTTACAATCATTTGCTCTATAAAGTAAAATGAAGAGCTTCTCGGTATCTTAAATTATACAACAAATTTAAACATTTTTGCCAACATTTCATTTAGTCAGGTTTATAGACTTTAATGTCAATGTTTTGCGATTACAATAAACAAGCTTTGCTGTACTAAACCAAGGTATACTCTGTTTTTTTTCTCAGGTAAGATTTCGACAGACGATGACAGAAGAAAAGCAGATGACGTCCCATACCAATCTATTTATTTTACAAAAAAAAGTTTCTAATAATTTTTAAGTTATCTATGGATGGGTTTAAATATAAATCCGTCATGCGTCGTGTCTTGTTGTTTTTAACCAGTTTTATTGGTTTATTTAAAAAATGACAGATCGTATTTCAATTTTATTGGTTTGACGGAACGATGAACGATAAACGGACGCCGATGCGTATGAATTCGCCTTTAGATTTTTGTCATTTTGACGCTTGTCAAAGTCTTGCCAAATTATAGGTTATAATTTTGTGTCAACTTTTGTTAAATACCCTGCGTTTTGGAAGATGATGCATTTTGATTCGTATTATTACGTTTGTTTTGTGTCTTTTGAAGTCAAGTGGAGGAAAAATCGAGTGAAAATTAACTGTAGACCCAGAGCACAGTTTATGGTTAATACACGCTGACCAGGCAAAAAGTTTTATACACCCCATCATTAAAGTTTGTATACCATCTCGTCGTAGATAAGTGCATCTCGTATATGGTAGAAGGATCAAACTAAACACATACTAAAAACTGGAGTAGCTGTAAAATATCGACATCACACGATAGGCAAATAATGGATTTTAGTACTGCAGAAAAATAATGTCAAAAGGTACTGGTTTAAAAAATTAAGATTAAAGTTAATTAATCAACCTTTAAGGTATAAAATTTGGTAGGTGTTATTATTAATAAAATAGTTTGTTTTATTTACTATGTTGTTTTATTTATTCCTGTAGAATATTACAAATTTGTATTTGTACATAAGTTATATTGATAAATATAATCATAAATGCGGGTAGTTTCATAAAGCTTGAGAGTAAAAATAGTTCTTTTTTATATTTTTTTTGGTATGTAGTGTCTTTTTTCTTGTTTGTTTTGTATTAACACATACCGGTTTTATTAAATAAAATAACTCGATTACATTTTTTCAGTTTTATACAGTTTTTTCACAATATTTTGAAGTAATCACTTGTCATCTTGTCAATCAAATTTTAAATATTTCCTGCGATGCGTTCCAGTTGTACCAACTTATTTCTTTGTAAAATAAAATAAAATACTTTCAAATTAAAATGACAGACACATCTATCACTGTCAAGGATCTTCTCGTTGGACAGACTATAGGAAAACGCTACGTTGCCACTTATTTATTCAGAAAGTATATTAATGAAGATCGTATATGATTATTTGTATTATTATAGTATTTCATTAAATTATAAATATTTTTTGTTATACCTTTCTTACTTACATCGATACAATTTTTAGGTGCCTTTAGAATTGATAGAAGATCGAATTATTGAAGCTCTGGACTTTGTCATGTTAACTCCGGGAACTCCACAAAGAACAGAACTAAAAAATCTTTTAGAACACTTGCAATACAACGTCGCCGTAATGCATCAACAAGTTTTGGACGAAACCCATTTGGCAGGTTAGAAATACGCAATGAAAAACATTATCACCGTTTTTTTATTTTCATTTTCCTTCATAGAAAGAAGAGATTCAGTACCTATTATCGAGGAAATCAAAAAATCCGTCATTGTTCTTCAAAATCTCCCAATTATGTCTGAAATTTCTGGAGACGAAGCAGGTAATCTAAAGATATTATACAAGGTGTTTTTTTAAATAAGTGCAAATATTTTAACTGGTACTATATTTCGACCTTAGATGCACGCCTATGCGTTTTTCAGTTAAAAAAAAAGTGTAGAAACATTTACATTCTCTTGACATTTTTTGTGAAATTTAAAAAAAATGCATACCGCAGATTCATACTCATGAAATTTGTAGATGGTGCAGTTTTTAGTACTGTCAAGCATTCTAAAATTGTTGACTTTTTTATTTAATTTCTACATTATGAAAAAATAAAACTTAATGTTATGATTTTCCAAAAACTACTTTTAGTAAATACGGTTTCTAAAAATATGCAAGTAATTTAAAAAATACAAAAAATTCTAAATATGTTACCAATTAAATTATTTACACTGATTTAAAAAATACCCTGTATATAAACCAAACCATATACTTTCAGTATCACCAGAAATTGTTAAAGAAATCGTCGAATGCGTTTCTGCCCTCGAACACAACCTGGCAACACTGTACGAAGTTGTTATGGTAGAAGGAATGGACCAGATGCCTCCCAACTTACTACAGGTAAGCGAATAGTCCTATGATTAAAACGATTTGTTATTAGAGTAAGCCCTTAAACACTACTTGATTTAAGTAGTTTAACTTAAAATTAACTGTTTTTTTTTGGTCCATTGAATAATAAAAAATAAAAATCGAAGCCATATAAGCTTTTAAACAGTGAGAATTGCATCAAAATCGCTAGTTTTTTATTCAATGTTTTGATCACACGGTATATTTTTATTGAAGCGGTTATTGACAAGCTCCAATGATTAT